ATTTAGTGGTTAGCTTTTCCGCGACACTCTCGCCTCCACGAACCCCAGGGGCCAATTATAAATTCTGTCAACGGAACTAGAGCGATTTTAGGTCAGTGACAGGTTTAACTAAAGTAGAGCTCTTTCACCGAGAGAATACTCACGTGGTGCCATTTTTATGTGATATTTATCATTTTGAAATGGTTATTTCAAGATCGTCACGATTACCTTACATCGCACTGCTCGGTCAAACACAGTTTCACTATTCCCGGTGTCGAACACTTAGGACAGGCGAATGATCGTTCGTGCTCGCAGCAATTAAAATAAAACCCGCTGACTTCATCCCTGACTTCGGCCCTGACATTCGGATGCGCTTTTTCGAACGTTTCGATCGGGCGCGCGAATGTTTGTACCCCGAATAATTAAAACAAAATGCGCTGACGCGTGTTTACGAAGTCCGGCGTCCAGTAGTCGGGTCTCGTTATCGAGGCTATCCAGAAAAATCTCGAATTGGCGTGCACCCACGCTTTCCTCTCCGCGTTATTGTTCGCCACGGTCGTCCCCAGCTAATTACATTCCCACGGACGCGTACACTCGCGCGTATTTGCACAAGCGCCACGATAATTGCGATAAACCCGATGACAACGCGATTCCCATCTCGGAAGTTCACCGCGTGGCGAATAGCCACTCGAAAGGAACGCTCGGGGAGCCCCCGAGCGTGCGCGCATCCGATACAATTGGATGGCTCCGCTCCGCGGGAGCCAAGCATAATCTCAGCCGGTCGATTTTTCCGTCGTTGAATACGATTCCTTGGAAACCGCCGGCGGACCGACTGGCTTTGCGTATTTTTGAAGATCGGTAATCGAGAGGGTCTCCAGTCCGCTCGCAGAACGCATTCCCGCCGCTGCGGCTTCCACGGTGCCGGAGAAATTCGAGGAATCTACCGTGGCTCTTATCGGCTCCGCGTATCGTTTTGCTCCGCTTCGATTCGCGGCCCGATCTCGTGGACGTTCTCTAGAAATCGCTGAACTCTTGGAACGCTCTGACTTGGAATGCGGAAAATTGTTAAATTTTCAGAAATTTGTTTGAATGGAGAAATTAAGCGCAACAAAGCGAGCGTAAAAACGAGAACGTTCGCAAGAATCGTGCAGTAATTCATAAACGAAGATAGACGAGACGCGAATACTCGAATCTTCATTCTAGCTGCCCTCACCGTTAGGAGTGAATTGAAGTTACGGTCCTCGTAAATCAGATTGCGGACTCACCAAAAGCATCGTGCGTGACATGGTCGTCGAAATTACTCGAGGTAACAATCAGCGAAGGTTCTCTTTGTGAACAAGTTTTGAATAAAATGTACAAATGATTGGAAATATTGGAAATTTCAAATAACAAATGCTTGGAAATAAGAGTTCATGAAAATTTATCATAAATGAATTTTCATGGGTACATACGATTTGTAATTTTAATTGTTCACGCTAGTTGTCTGCGTGTGCAATTATTATTAAATATTATTAAAATAAAGTGATGGACAAATAACAAAGGTTATTTATGATTTTATTCATATAAAAAAATATTTATGATTTTATTCATATTGCCTTTTATTTTTTTAAAATCGGAGTGAGCATTCTAAAATTCAAGTTCCGATTGTAGCCTGCAAACTGTAGTCAAATAGATTTATTTAATTTTATAGTAGCTTTATTTGTTACATTTTGGTTATTTGAGATCGACGATATTTGTATCGTTTATACATTTTATTTTCTCGGAAACGTTTCCAATAAATATTCGCTAAATTTGTGATAAATATTACTCTACGTTACGAAAAATCAATTAGTACGAAAATAACAAAAAAGAAGGCGTTTAAAAGTTGCGACCATTTATTCATTTTGGTCCTCTTCGGCAATATAAAAATTCGTCACATTCTCCAGTAAATATGAATTACATTTTACATACTTTTACTCTCCATCTGAAATCGTTACGTAGATAAGAAATGATACTCTGACAGGATCTCGTCGCGTTGAGATGAGAATGAAACCAGAATCGGTACGAGGAAGAGAGCGAAACGAGAGGCCAACGTCGATGAAAGGAGAATCGTGCGCGGTCGATTCTATTCACGCGATGTACGCGCGCGGGTACAAGGTTAGAAGAGATAAGCATCGTCGGATTAATTATGCGTAATGCGTCGGACGTGTGCACCGCGTGCATACTCGCGCGCGCTTGCGCGTTTTGGCGTGCGGAGCGGCAACGAAGGACCGTGGCTCTCTGGTTGCTGGCAAACGCATTCAATTATCATTGTTACTCCGGGAGTTTACAGATGTTTCCGCGATAATCACGCTGCCGCGCGATTGCACGTTAATCCTGCCGGCTCGTATTAACCGCCATTGAATGGCAACGGTAACGAGAGAGGAGCCAGTGCACGCCACTCCTGATGATGCAACGCATCCAGGGAAACAAAGCAGGGTAAAGGGTTCCTGGTCACGCGACTTAGAAGCGTGTAAAATTGGACAATATAATTATCATCTGACATAATCATAAACAACTTAGCTGCGGTAAAGTAATGCTAATCATTCGACAAACGATTCCAAAATATCTCAATCTAATAAATAGTCGACGAGTCCATCCTGAACAAGTCATTTTAACTTCACGTTTCAGAGTTTATTTTTGGATAAATCACATATTGTAAACCACCGAATATGATATTAAAATTATAATTACCGATAAGCCTGATGAAATCGTGAAACATCATAAATATTCTACGGCGCGGAGACTGTAAAGAATCTATACGGTGTAACGGTAATAGAGTTAAGACCGAACAATAGCGGCCTAACGAGCGAAGCGAAAACAAAGCGAGCCCTTACGACAAAGCTTCAATTCATCACCCCCATAGTGAATGACCATGCACAACAAAGCTGTAAATGACAATACGAACCATGAAGTCTCTGTAACGCTACTCACGGATGATCAAGTATTGCGGGAACTCGAAGTTTTAAAATGTCTGGTGACCAGGCCTCCTCGTTGCTGACGAAAGTAATTTGTGCCAGCCTGAGTCTGGTTTCGAAATTATGAGAGTCTCTTGGAGATGGAGAGAAAGATATCCAAATGTGATTAAGTAATCGACTGGGCCAATTCTGACCGGCCATTATGAACGAATATCGAAGACAGTGGTACAAGAAGATGACCACTCTGCGGATGGTATAAGTAAGGACTCGATCTTTTAATTCTATAGGCTTCTTTCATTTTTCCTTCGAAGTCCAGGGTAACCATTTTCGATAGCAGGAGGATGACGTATTAAAGTTTTCTTCGAAGGACGGTCCACGTCACCTGGGAATTTTTAAGGGGGCGAGGGGGAACAAATTAAAGCATAAATGCCGTACAATCGAACGGAAATAAATAGTTTGGAATTTCTGTTAGGATTCCGGTTGCACGGTCGACGAGCAACAGCGGGGGGAAACACGGTATTGGCGTTGCCGCGCTCTATTTCCGTCCCTCTGTTTTTCGGAGCCCTTTTTCTCTTTGCTGGCGCCCCGTTTCGCTTTCTATATTCCTTCTCTGTTCCTCTCCAGGCGCACGAATGTTTTCATTCCACGGCGTCCCATTGTGCGGCGCCCGCCAAATGCCGAAACGCTGATGCGAAAACTGTTTTCCTTTTTTGCCTTCGTTAACCCATATTCACGTATGCGTTTTCGCGTTCGGTTTTCGGTTCGTCCGGACCACACAGACCCCCCAACCGCGAACCCTTTTCCACTCGTTTACTTTGTCTAGCCTGTGAATTAAGCTGATTTGTGGTGTTTACTGACAATAGCTCCTAATTCTCCTTCTCGTATGCGGTGGAATTCGCGACTGTGTATTCGTTGCTTTTCGAAAAAAAAAAATAATTCGAAATAGAGCGGTAGAAACGACCGATGGAATTTGTCGTTTGAACTTCCTGCAGAGGAATGTGCAAACTGGTCAAAAAAGCAAATATAACGAAAAAAAAGAGAGGTACATAACGTATCAAACTTTCTGGCTTTTAATAGACAAAACCGGCGACCAAACATTTTAACACCACAACGGGTGGTCGTGTTTTGCTTTTGAAATTCGTCTACATAACAGTATAGTCACCCATACTAAAATTGATGTGTGCTTTTAGAAGTGGGAATATTTTATTGATTGCTTCCCGAGTAGTTAAGGGGTAGATATAACATGGATATGTTTTTTATGCTGACACACATTACGTATTCATACTGAAATTTTTATCGATACCAATATTTTCTCTCCGTAGCGTCGAGCAGACTGAAAGTACGAAAGTAGGAAAAAGAGAAACCATGGCGAATCATCGTCATCGTTGGGAATTTCAGGGCGGAGCAGGTGCGCGAGGTGGATTACGCGCGGAATCGTGCAGATAACATGTTTTCCTTCGGTAATACCGCTCGACAAAGGGATTTCGTTGGGACGCGACTGACATCGCGTTTAAATCTCGGGGAAAAAGCGCGCAGAATGTTGGATGCGCGCAATCACGCTGAAAACGGAGGGCGGGGTTCTGTTCCGTCGACGATGATCCGATGGATCCAGGGCATTTAGATAGAGTTTTGTAAATTTATTCTATTTTTATAGCATTAATAACGCATGACGACATAATGAACGAAAAATATTGCATAAACATGGGCTCGTCAGTCAAAAACGTATTTGCCGCACAACCCAACACTTTGATACGATGCATTTGTTATGTAAATGATAAAACTAAATTTGACGCTAGAAGGCAAAAAAAAAATGGAGTAGAGAGTTCGCGTGTAGGATTATTTTTAATAAAATTCAAACTACATATATTTAAAATGTATGAAATACCGGACGTCATTGGTAGCTGTCCAGGAACAGCTTTCCTGCGACTCTAACGAACGCGCGTACCGTGGAAAATATTCGCCAGCAATCGGGAAACACGATCAAAAAATTCTTAGGTTATTCGCCGAGCGTATGTATATGTGTACGTGTGCCGCCCGCAGTAGTAATTACTCTCACCCCTAACGATGCGGTCGTTTTGTTTCCAGGCGTAGTCGGAGCTCGGAACTTCACGATGGAGTGCCGCAAGGGTCGACGGAAAGGTCTACTCAGTGGCCTGGTGTTTGCGTGGCTCCTAACCAGCGGTTGCACCGTCGCGGCGCGAAATATAGGTAAGTGAGAAAGTATTTACGATAGCAGCGTGAGCCGATTCCTGCGAGCAACCTGTCCGCGGGCCTCGGCTCTGTCCTTGTGCCAATTAAGCCTCCTTGGCGACACCGTGCGAGAGGACTACGCGCGAATATTTACGCGCTGCACGACGCCCGGCTTGTTCCAAGTCTGGCGAAGAATTATTCCTCTCCGGTCGAACGCGGATTCTCAGTCCTACCACGGAATGGTATTTTGAAATGGAGTTCAGGGCGATCGTGTTTGCCAATTCCGACTCGTGGACTTCGTTTTTGGCGGGGAAATTAATTGGTAACGCGCGACCAATAGCGTTAGACTGCACGAGGAAATACCGAGCGTTTCGGAGCGTTCGTTTGACGAACGATAATTAGAGAATTTTAAGTGTAGCGACTTGTGGTCCTTTGGTATTATTCTGAGAGCAGTTGTATTAGTTTGCAATGATATCGCACAAATTTTTAGCCCCCTTACCTGGCTTCTTCCTTCACTGTTTACTCAGGAACACAGCCGAGTCCATGACTAAGTGACTTTGAATCAAAGTCCTCGATTTACCGCAAGATTTCATAGCACGGGTATTCGACACGCGTGGTTCGCCACTCGCGGATAGACCATGGGTGACAGGGGGTGGGTTTTCGAACAGCGGTTTGGGCTGCATCGAAGGGAGGACAACGCACTGCATATCCGGCCAGGCGAAACCGCGGTCGGACGGCCGAGCACACGGGTTGACCGTTGAAACATTTATCGAAGGGCAAACACGGTGTGTTTAATAACGAGGATGGAAGTAGCCGAGCGTGTGTACACTGCGACGGGGCCCTGTGGATTGTACTATCGCGGTGAAGATCGTCCCTTCGGCCCCTCGAGAGCCCCTCACGGAACCAACGAGGACTGGTACGAGCTTAGGTGGCCGATTGTGTGCGCAGACCCCGCTCGAGAATTAACTCATTCTCCACGCTAATTGATTTAGGAGATGCCGCGCGTGAAGTGATATTGTTGCGGGAAGAATCGACGGCGGGACTGTTTGTCTGAGCTTGGTGTAATTAGTGACCAAACAGACATCGTTTGGGGTCGTGACCGTTGGTCAAATATGTGGAAGAATATTCGTGGCAGATGCAAACCGTGAGTCGTTGGAGAACGCCTCGTCGAGTGGATGTACAGACAGTCTCATCAATTTTCGTACCCTCTATTTCTATTAAAGAAGTTTGCCTAAATTGAATAATAGGTTTTATGTTCTCAAATTCTTTCAATAAACACAGAATTCTTCAATAAAGACAAATTCTTTCAATACATACAGAAGCCACGAATACTTATGGGACAGACTGTAAATATGGATGGCGCGTGGTGGTGTTGTTTCGTGTAGCAAGTTCGCCTGACGGTACATAGGATGACACTGTGGAGAATTTAAGTAGATTAGAGTAGGTGATAAGAAAATGCTCGAAAATAAATTTCAGATAGAAAATCTCAAGGTATCCCGGGAGGTTCCTCTCGCAAACGCATTTTTCAGCGCCCCCAGCAATCGAGACGAATAACATCCCGCGGAATAAATAAAAGATAAAGCTGCCCGTTACTCCGAATGGTCACGTCACGATCACTCTCGGTCCTTTATCTACCTCTCACCATTTTTCTCTCCGACCGCTTCCGTTCACGGAGCGAAATCAAAGAGTCGGGCAAAGCCGTCTGAGCCGTCGATCGGACGCCACACAATGCCAGCGATTTTGATTTATCTATCGTGCCGAGTTTCCGCGGTTTCTCTCCGTAGTTGGATGTGTCGGTGTACGCGAACAAACACGTTCCAGCTGCGCGCGCTGGAAGGAGAGGGCCAGACGCGGAGTCGATGGAACGAAGACGTCGAAGTTGGGGCGAAGGGCAGAACAGTGGAAACGCAGGGATGACGGTGGCTGCGCGGATTAGGCGCACCGAAGTGTGCGATAATCGCGAAGGAATAGGGAAACTCTTCTCTCCCCTTTGACCTGGTCTCCTTTCTCGACCCTTCAGAACTCGGAATCGCTCTCGAGACTGCCGCTCGTTAATGCTCGGTTCCGCTCCGACGTGTGCGCGACGCGCGTTCCTAAACTTCGGCTCGGTTGCTCAACCAACCAAATCTCCACCCTTTCTGCGAGACGATTTCGCGCGGAACACTCCTCCCGATGTCGTCTCACCAACCCCCGGGTGCACTCGTGAAAAAGTCCTGTGAACCGTGGCACACAGAGCTCTTCAGTTCTGAATTTTTAGATCCTATGTTCTGGTGGATATTGCTCTAGCGTTAGTTGTAACAAGATGCCTTCAATGTCTTTCAGAAGTACCATTCATTTCCCAAATTGTTTCTCACCGATAACCAAGCGCCAGAATATAAACGCCTTCGACCAGAGCGAGGGCGTAAATTTTACCTGGCCGTAGATATGGCACGGGGCGAAACAGATCGCGTTGCACGTCTCACTCGGGCAGAAAATACTACTCGCAGGCGTGGACCACCTGGGACAGGGTCGCTCCGTTCCTCCTGCGGCTCGTCTCGGTCCAGCTCTGTCTTTCCTCTCCTTCCTCTCGCGTCCGACGAAGATTTATAAACGCGCGGGAAAGGGGTTGGCGGCGGCCGGCGTGCAATTTACGGTCGCCACTTACGTCGCCGTGGCGCGTTCTGCGCAATTAATATTTATGTAGGATAGATCGATAATCCTATTATACACTCGGCACAATATCGGGATAATAAGCATCGTGGACAGTGCGTGATTATAGGGTGCCCGGCGTCCCCGAGGCGAAGCGAAGGGGCCGCGGCGACGGTGTCCTTCGAAGGATAAAGATTGCCGTGTGAAAAATTTCTCACGGTTGCTAAGGAATGAAAAATCCCGCGGAATACCATTCTGTCCAGGTTCCCCTTATTTACTCGCGGCCGTAATCCGCCTTTAATTATTTCTCGAAGCGCGTCAGGGGGGCTTGGCTCCTTTCCTCGTCGTTAGATCCGGAGATAATAATAAATGAATTACGCAGTCTCGGGGCCCTGCGTTGAACGTATCGCGCTACGGTTAAAAATCGTCGATCCCCGAATGAAAAATACACTGGGCGCAGATAAGTCGGCTTTAAATTCTACGTGGAATAAAAACTGCCTCGGCGCGCCGCTCTTCGAGATCCTCGGAGCGGTTACGATAGGGGTTTGGGATGGTGTGGGGCGAATTAAAGGATAGGTCGGATAGCGGAGATTCTATCTAGTGCAATTGTTATATTATAAGTATTTTTTAAGCACGACTGCGTTGCATATTAACCCTTTGAGTGCCAGAGGAAATTTTCATACATATCCGAGAAATGTCAGACGATTTTAAGCAAAGATGCATGCTTGTAAACAAAAATGTATATTTCGGTCAATTTTATTTTATGTTTTATAAAGTTTTGAAATGAAATCGAAGTGCACAAATGAATCTATGTGCATTGACGTTATTTTCGTAAATCAAAATTGATTTTTTAACGAGTTATTACACTTCCGAGCAGCGATATATCGCTCTTGCCCCTTTTTGCAAGTATATGGAGGAGCAACATATCGTTACTTGGCTCTCGAAAGAGTTAATATCTAACAGTGTGGGCGGAGTTTTTTGGAAAAATTCCTGCAAAGGAAACAACGCTTGGAGCAAGTATGCGAACACAGGAAATGGAACTGTGTCGACTCGACGTCATTGGCAAACGACCGGGCAAACAACCTCGTCCCTATAGGTGACCTTCTGAGGTCCTCGCCGCCCTTTGAGTAACCCAGCAACCGTAACTTGCCGCGGACCTCAGTTTCTAAGATTTGTGGTACATCGGGAACACACGGTGACCCCAATTTACCGCGCATTACGCCGTTTTCCCCGGTTGCTTCTCCTATGATGGTACTTCCCTTCTATGGGGTTTCTGGCCCTATTCACTGATCCACTTCTGAGTTCTCGTTCTCTGTTCCTGGTAGATGGTCCTTTTCAAGAGCCTGCGAGCTCTAAAATTACACGAGAAGACGAACATTGACTGTCTTGATTCAGACGAACTTCGGGTTCTGTTCACCCAGATTGTGAAATAGTTTTAGTAGATCACGCATCAGCAATATTTTGCCACTTTTATTTTTCCTCCCAATTCTATGTTCTTTATTAGTTCCTTGCTTTTCTAATAGTTGAAACGACAGTTCTGCTAGTGATATAATTCCAATAAAAGGCACCTGCAGAGACTGAGCATGGTAACCTTTTTGTTTTCTTGAGTTCGTAACACCTGTACCAGTATTGTACTCTATCGTGCTCGTGCTAAAACAATTAGTTTGTTCCTGAATTGATTCGAGCGTGCCATTTTACCAATCCGAACCACAGTGACATCACCCACATGAATAAAAATCCTCGATAAATTGACACGCAACATTTTTACGTATCTCCCATTTTGAAAACAACGTTTCTCATTTTTCTTCCCTTAGTTTTAAATCGAATACTGTTTTTCGGATTAATTTCGCCGGAGATCAAATAGGCCGAATAATATGTCGACTGAAAAACAGATCAATTGATTTATTTTGAATTGTCTGGAGCAGCGTACTCCTGTTGTTCACACTTTATCGCGAAACCTAGAGCGCCGAGTACACGTGTTTCTGCATGAACTGCGCGTTACACCAGCGTGTTCCGTGGTTCATATTTTAACCACGTAACAAAGCGTAATGATACCGTACATTGCCGACGACGATCGCCCTTTCGCATTAATCCTTGTTCGAAACCGCTACAACGTGACTAATCTAATTACCAATCATGCACCAGCGGGTCCCTACTTCCACACTCCGCTGATTATTTCTTCTTTCCTCCTCTCCGTGCGCCGGCCAACGTGTTTTCGTCGAGTTCAATGAGTCATCCGCAATTATTCAACGGTAACGACCTGTCTGGGCATCGAATTTACCTGGCCAGTGACGCCGTCGATACGAATTAACAGCTAGATCAATGTCGTGCTCGAAAGAATGTTTTTGCGCCACGCGTCTCGAGTCGCGTTTTATTTTTTTTCTGCTGTC